AGCACTACTTTTTCTATATCCCCAAAATTTTGATAGGTTAATTTTATTTTCATTTAGTTCAAAATATTTTTGCATTTCTCTTGAATTTTTCCTTGACTTATGTGTTTAGAATTGTGTTAATTTCCAAATATTTGTGTTTTTCCATCTTTCTGTTGTTGATTTCTACTTTAATTCCATTGAGAGCATACTTTTATGATTTCTGTTCTTTTAAATTTGTTAAGGTGTATTTAATGGCCTGGAATATGGACTCTTAGTGAATGTTCTATGTGAACTTGAAAAAAAATGTGTTCTGATATTGGATGGAATGTTCTATAAATGCCATTTAGATCAAGTTGATTAACAGTGCTGTTCAGGTCAACTATATCCGTACAGATATTTTGCCTGCTTAATCTGTCAATTACTAACTGGGGGATGTTGCAGACTGCAACTCTAATAATAGATTTGTCTGTTTCTCCTTTCTGTTTTATCAGTTTTTGCCTCATATATTTTGACAGTTTTGTTAGGTACATACATATTTAGGATTATTATATGTTTGGTTTTTTCCATAATTGATCCCTTTGTCATTATGTAGTGCCTTTTTTTTTTAATCTCTGATACTTTAATTGTTCTCAGGTCTGCTTTATCTGAAATTATATAGCTATTCCAGCATTTTTTTTTGTAGGCTCTGTGCCCACTATGGGGCTTGAATTCATGCCCCCAAGATTAAGAGTCAAATACTGTACCCACTGAGCCAGCCAGGCACCCCTCCAGCATCCTTTTTTGTCCATATTTCTTTTGATTAGTATATATGGTGGTATATATCTTTCTCCATTGCTTTCCTTATACCTTTCAGAGCCTTTGTTTGTTTATTTATTTTAAAGACTTTATTTATTTATTTGTCAGAGAGCACAAGCAGGGGGATGGCAGGCAGAGGGAGAAGCAGGCTCCCCGCTGAGCAAGGAGCCCGTTGCAAGACTTCATCCCAGGACCCCGGGATCATGACCTGAGGCAAAGGCAGATGCTTAACCAACTGAGCCACCCAGGCACCCAGTCTTTATTTTTAAAATGGGCCTCTTGTCCAAAACATAGTTGGATTTTATTTGTCCATTCTGACAATTTCTGTCTTTAGTGGGTGTATTTGGAGCATTCATATTTAAAATGATTCTTGATATATATTTGGGTTAATATCAACAATGTGTAACTGTTTTCCATTTGTTTCCAAGGCTTCATTTTCTGCTTTCTCTAGTTCTGAGTATTTTACATGATTCCATTTGTCTTCTCTTAATGTATCAATTATATTTGTTTTAAAAAAATTTTTAGTGATTTCCCTCAATTTTACAATATATATTTTTAACTAGGTTTACTTTCTTTTTTTTTTAAAACATTTTTATTTATTTATTTGACAGAGAGAGAGATAGCGAGAGCGGGAACACAAGCAGGGGGAGTGGGAGAGGGAGAAGCAGGCTCCCCGCTGAGCAGGGAGCCCGATGCGGGGCTCAGTCCCAGGACCCTGGGATCAGGACCCGAGCCAAAGGCAGACACTTAACGACTGAGCCACCCAGGCATCCCTAGGTTTACTTTCAAAAAACATTCTTCTGCTTCACTTATACGTAGTATAGGTACCCTATTACAGAGTATTCATTATTCATTTCACTTATTCATATGCTATAATCACTAAATATATTAATATTAGTACTTTAAACATTTATCTTTTTTATCACTTAAGAATAAGAAAAAGGAAACAATTTCATTATACTTTCATGTATTCCCTTCCACTGTTCTTTATGAAGATTTGAGTTGCTAACCTATTTTGAGTTGCTGATCAATTTTCTTTTGCCTAGAGAAAATCTTTTAACATTTCTTTAAGGGAAGGTTTGTTGGTCATCAGTTTTTGTTTGAGAAAAATCTTTATTTCTCCTTCACTTTTGAAGGACAATTTTGCTGAATATAAAATTTTAATTTGGTGGGTTTTTTTTTCCTTTCAACACTTTAAATATTTCCACAGTTACAGAGATAGAAGTGTTAATGCTAAAATGGAAGATTTATTTCTCCTTGTAGTTCTGTCAAATTTTGATTTATTTATTTTGAGGTCAATCTAATAAGTGCATACAAATTTTAAAATACCATAAAGTGACACTTGTTATGGTTTGTAATGCTTTTTGCTTTGAAGCCTATTTTGTTATTTAACTACAATGGCTTCCTTTTGGTTACTGTTTTCATGTTATAATTTTCTTCTATACTTTTACTTTCAGTCTTTATGTATTTTTATATTTCAGATGTCTTTTGTAAACAGTATAACATTGTGTTTTTTCCAGTCTGAAAATCTTTCTTTTAATTGCTTCATGTAAACCATTTATATTTAATGTACTCACTGATATTAATAGATGTAAGTTAACCATTGTAGCAAGTTCCTTTCCTATGTCCCATCTGATGTTATGTTAGTTTTCTCCTCTTTAGGATTATTTTCTTATTTTTGCCCCTCTATTAGCTTAGAAGTTTTACCTTAATGGCTTTCTGGCAATTAGAGCATACAGTCTTAACTTAATCAAAGGCTAATATTAATTTTGTACTTTTACTTCAGCCCTCTTGACTCATGTCATTTGTCGATATGAATTAACATACTAGTTTTATATAGTATTGATTTAAGTTTACATACATATTTGTCTTTTTAATTGTTGTTTTTCCCTTTCTTATCTCCAGTATTCCATCTGGGATCATTTTCCTGTCATGTGAAAAATGCCCTGTAGCATTCAGTATTTCCTTTGGTTCATGCCTGCTGATGGCAAACTCTCCTTTTTTGTTTATTTGTAAGGGTCTTTATTTCACCTTTAATTTTGAAGGGTATTTTTCCTGGTTCTTAATTTTTTTGGCTGGCAATTATTTTCTTTCAGGTTGCTAAAGATACCATTCTGTCTTCATACCTCCATTGTTGCTCTTGAGAAGCCACCAATCAGCCTAACTTTTGTTCCTTTCAAGGTGTACTCTATTTTTCTGGCTACTTTTATGATTTTCTCTTTGTCTTTGATTCTCTGAAAGGTCACTATTATGCATCTATGTGTGAGTTTCTTTTTATCCTGTTTGGGATATCTTGGACTTCTTAGATCTATGGATCAGTGTCTTTCATCAGTTCTGAAAAATCCTCAGTTGTCTCTTCAGAGGTTGCCTCTGAACATTTCCATTTCTCTTTTCCTTCTGGAACTCCAAGTAAACATTTGTTAGATCTTATCATGCCCTCCCATCTGAATTTTCCATCTTTTTGACTACTTGTGCAGCCTTATGGATAGTTTCTTCTGAACATAATTTCTAGTTCTTTAATTCTCTTTTGAGCTGCATCTAATCTGCTGTTAAAGCCGTCCACTGAGTTTCTAATTTCAGCTGAGTTTTTTTTTTTTTGTAGTTTTAGAATTCCTTTTTTTCCCACTTTTTCTGATTTCTAGCACCCTGTTGAAATTTTCAAGATTGGATTTTATTTATCTGAATACACTAAGCATTGTGGTTTAATAGTCTGTATCTGATGATTCAGATAATTCAAAACTAATGGATTTGTTTGTGGTGGCTGTTGTCTCTACTGCTTCATATTTATGATGTCTTTTTTTATTTGTATTACTAGTTATCTTTCTGTGTGGACTTTGTACATGAACAATTGTTTGTTGAAATAATTTGGGGCCTAGGATGACGGACACTTACTCCAGAGAAGATTTTATTTGCTTTGGTCAGGGCTTATAAGGGTTCTTCCTGTCTGGAACCACCATAATCTTTGTTCAAAGCTTAAAGTTTACTAGTCCAATTAGATGTTGCAAGGCCAAACTAAAAGACTTTGTGAGAGCTAGTTTATTTCCAGTTTATAATTACCCTTAAACTGAAACATTTGAGGTTCCCAGCGTTATATGGGTGATGGTTTGTTAGGAAATCCCTCCCCTTGTAATGAGCCTTGGGTCTTTGATTTGCTGCCTTGAGTCAGCAGTAGATTCAACACAGTTTGGCACTAGTGTAGTACTTAACCTCTATTCCTAACCACAGATGCCCTTGGGACAAATACAGTTAACCATATGAGTACTAAAAGAAAACATGGGTGAATTCCTCTTTGACCTCATGTAGGAAAATAACTATGAATCAAAATCTAGATGGAATAAAATAAAAGTTTAATAAATTTGACTACTTTTTAAGTGTATGGCAGAAATACACCATATACAAAGTAGAAAAGCAACTAACAAGCTGGAAGTAAATATTTGCAACATATATAACATAAAGGCCTAATATTGTTAATGTATAAAGGATACTGAAAATGAGAGTGAGGACCAACAACCCAACAAAAATGTGGAAAGACATGAACAATTTACAATGATATTTAAATTGTCAGAAAAATGCAAAATAAAATGCCATGAAATACTACTACTCACCTATCATGTTAGTGAAAATGAAAAAGTATTCCAACACATGTTGGAAAAGGTGTGAAGAACCAAGCACTCTCCTATATGCTGGTGGGAAAGCAAAGAAACGGATCTAAGGCTCAGGGGGAGGGAACAGCCTGGAGATGGAGATTTGAGAATCATCTGTGCTTAGAGGGAAATGAACAGAAATCTCTCAGGGAGAGAGCACGTGTGGACTGAGAGAAGAGGCCCAGGAACACAGCTACTCAAGGTGGCAGCGCCGCTTCCTGGCGGGCACTACTGCCTGGGCTCTGGAGTCAGGCAGAGCCGGTCTTGAAAGCAGCCTGTAGGACTCAGTTGCTGAGCCCTCCTGGCAAAGTCGGGTACCGTCCCTGTGATCAGCGGTCACACCTGGCAATGACGTACATAGAGGGATGCTGTGCGAGGACCTGAGATGCGCCAGGTAAAGCACCTGCGGTCGGGAAGCCTCCGGGCGCCTGCTCTCTCCTTGATTACCCCTTTGCCACCCCGCCCCCCACCGTGTGCGGTTGCTCGGTCCCTTGGGGATGGGGGTGAGGGGGCGGGGTGGGGGACCGAGCTCGGGTGACGCGGCGCTCACGTGACCGGCTGGGCGCCGACGTGGGCAGCAGCCCCCGCGCCCGCCTGCTCGCCCGCCCTGCGGTCCGGTCCCTGTGCCCTCCGCTCCCATCGCCCGCGCGGAACCAGCTCCCTGAGCTGCCCGGGCGGCGGGCGAGGGGCAAGCGGGCTTCTGCGAGCCCGAGGAGGCGCAGGCCTTCCCCGGGCCCCGCAGGTCAGTGTGAAGGTGGGCGCTGCTGGCGGCCCCGGGCTGGGGTGGCGGTGGATGGCAGTAGGATCCTCGAGCAGCGCGGGGTGGGATGGGGTCCGGGAGGTCGGTGGGGAGGGGGATGCAGCGCGGACGTGGGCAGGTGGGGAGGGAGCACCCCGCCGCCTCCTCGACGCTTCTCCTGTGCGCCCTCCATGCATTTTTGGACCTGAAATGGGGGGGCGCCCCTGCAGTGCGACAGTGAAATGTAGACATATTCTAGAAATAACCCTCTCTCACATTCTGCACCTAAAAGGAAATACTGACCTCCGCGGAAAGGGGGTGGGGGTGGGCGGCTTGCCTGCAGGGGAGAGGGACACAGAGACCCAAACAGTTTGGAAAGCATCCTGGCTTGGAGCCTGAGGCCTGAAAAGTAATGGCGGCTGGGATGCGGGGGAGGTAGGGGAGGGAAATGTTGCCTGAGGAGGGCCCAGGTTCAGGAAAGAAACTTCAGTTGGCTGAGTGCACAGGCCCTGGCCCTGTCTCCTGTGTGTAGGTCTGTGTGTCTGTCCCCAGCATTCTGCAAGGCTAGAAAAGGAGGAAGAACCTGTCCAGAATTCCTGCAGGTGAGTGAAAGGGGGGAGGGGCACTGGACAGGAACGGTGGGGGGAGGGTGCGGAGGGCACAGTTTGGGCAGAATTTGAAGGTCCCACTGCCCATCTCACCACCATGTATATTGCACCCACCCCGCCACGCCGAGGGATGGTGCAAAGGGCCTGCCAGGGAAATGGTTGGCTCTCGCGTGTGGGATGAATTGTGGGGTAAAGGGTGGGCAGAAGACACACTTGGAGGGCTTGGGCAGGTCAGGGGAAGCCAGCCAAGGGGAAAGATGCCAGTACTATCAGCACCTGCTTTCCACCTCCAAGGCCTCAGTCTCCCTTGTCTCCTTTGACTTCTCTTACCCCCCATCCCACCCTACCCGCCCCCCCCAGGACAAGGAAAAGAAGGGAAAATCTCAACATGGAAAAAAAACTCTACAATGAAAATGAAGGAAAGCTGGAAATCGAGGGAACGCCAGAAGATGAAGTAGAGCCTGAAGATGAAGGAAAATCAGAGGAGGAAGAAAAGCTGGAAATGGAGGGGAAGCCAGGGCATGAGGGAAAGCTCCAGAATAAGGGACAGCCAGAGGATGAGGGACAACCAGAAGATGAGGGAAAGCAAGAAAAGCAGGGCAAGTCCGAAAATGAGGGAAAACCACACGGTGAGGGCAAGCCAGAATCCCTGGCAAAGCCTGAGGGTGAGCCACGGGCTGCCGAAAAGCGCCCGGCTGAAGATTACGTGCCCAGGAAAGCAAAAAGAAAAACAGACAGGGGGACGGACGATTCCCCCAAGGACTATCAGGAGGACTTACAGGAAAGGCACTTGGGCAGCGAGGAGATGATGAGAGAATGTGGAGATATGTCAAGGGCTCAGGAGGAGCTAAGGAAAAAACAGAAAATGGGTGGTTTTCATTGGATGCAAAGAGATGTTCAGGATCCGTTTGCCCCAAGGGGGCAACGGGGTGTCAGGGGGGTGAGGGGTGGAGGTAGGGGCCAAAGAGGTTTACATGATATCCCATATCTTTAATGCCTTTGGCCTTCAATTTTAACTTCTCTAATGAGAAAATTGCTGACCCTGCTTTCCCTGGCAGGCATTTGCCAGGCTATGTGCTTTAACCTTAAGCTGATATTTTGCTTTAGGTGTCACTCTTGTTACCAGCAGCCTTTTGATCCAACTACAGTGTTCTCTGTCTTTCAGTAGGGGATTTTCACCCTTGTGCATGGAAGAAATGTTCATGGTACACTGTAAAATAACAATAAAGAAAAAACAGTTTTCAGAACCACATATACAGTATCAGACCATTTTTGTAAAAATATAAATGTTTGCATAATGCATTTGTGCATAGAGAAAGCTCTGAAAATGTGTAGACTAAAAAGTAGATGATGGTTTTTCCTGTATGGTAGCCAAAAAAAAGCTCTCATTTGTATTCAAACATGAGTCCAATCACCTGATGGTTAGGTACCTCCATGCCATTCCTCTGTGGGCCTTACCCATCCCCATGCCTTCCTCTAGTTGTAACCATGTCAGTGGGCACTGCTGCTCCTTCTTCTGAGTTCTCTACCATCCTATGGCTCCCACCATGTGTGATTCTTTCTTTTTGCTTTGCTCACTAAACACTTTTTCTTAAAGGATGGATTATGTTTGTCATAAAAAAAAACTAGAAATCAAATACATGATAAACAACTGAAATGTTCAGTGAGTTTATGAGGGCAATGAAGACACTTAAAATTCCTGTTGTCAGAATGTAAAACGGTAAGTAAAATTCACATTATCTCTGGGACTCATAGCTCAAGAAATCAACCTGGTGGTTATAGCAACAGATCCAGTGCTGTAAGGGTCAGTCTTGTCATCTGTGAAATGGGATTAAAACTTAACCTCACATACTGCTGAGGGGATCAGATGAGATACTGAGTATGTGAGCTATGTTGGGCTGGTACCTTAGCAGTTGTAGGACCCTCCTGTCAAACACGCAGGGGAAGGCTGAAGGTAGGTCTCACCTGTGCCCAGGAACAAGACCAAGCCGCTGAGAAGAGGGTGCCACCTTTCTCTGGATACTACCATATCTGCTGGGCACTCCTGTTCTGTTCTGCCCTGTATCCTCTGCTAACAGCTATTGATACGGAGTCATGGTGACAAAGCCCCTCTGATTCCCTATCATCCCCAAAAAGGGCCAAAGCCCCTACTTGACTGCTGTAAGAGTGTGGATAAAGCCTCTCTCCCAACTTCAGAGTTGTGCCTACTCAGGTGCTACTACCCCACAGCTCCTCGGGCTGCCCTGTATTCCATAGTTCTTAGAAGAGTCATTACCATTTTTAGTTCATTTTATATTTGCTTATAGTTCCTTTTCAGAGGACTCAGATATTTGGGGTCCACTGGGGGCTGTGTCCTGAGACTAATCTATGGACCAGACAATGCATGGTGGTTTGAATACTACACCACAGTACCCCAAGGAAACCATATCTAAATTTACATACCTTTCTTTTTTTAAGATTTTATTTATCTATTTGAGAGAGAGCATGAGCAGGGGAAGAGGCAGAGGGAGAGGCAGACTCCCTGCTGAGCAGGGAGCCCGATGCGGGACTCCATCCCAGGACCCCTGGATCACGACCTGAGCCAAAGGCAGCTTCTTAACAAACTGAGCCACCCAGGCGTCCCAATTTACATACCTTTCTTAGTCTGAGTTTTCTAAAATCTCCTGGCTGGCTTGCTATACAAAATCAAAGGACCTGTCCACACATAATCAGAGAGGGCTACACAACTGAGTTTCAAGCTGAAAATATCCCTTTCCATTGCAAACCAATTCCAGCTGAAAAGGGTAATAGTGCTCTTAAAAATACTAAAAACTCTCTATGGGGCACCTGGTGGCTCAGTCGACTGGGCATCTGCCTTCTGCTCAGGTCGTGATCCCGGGGACTTGGGATCAAGCCCTGCATCAGGCTTCCTGCTCAGTGGGGAGTCTGCTTCTCTCTCTCCCTCTGTGTGCTCTCTCTCTGAAATAAATAAATAAATAAATCTTTAAAAAATATTAAAAACTCTCAATGTTAGGTATTTTATTTAATCCACCAGTATTTTCCTTTATCAAAATACTTTCTTATTCATCCTGATATCCCTCACACTGTCCTTGACACATATACTTAATAAATTATGATTGAATCAGGAACCCTGAGTTTAGAGAGATAACTGTTCATGGATTAGAAGACCTAATAGTGTTAATATGGTAATTCTAAAATTGATCTATAAATTCAATGCCATCCCAATAGAAATCCCAGCAAATTGAGATTCTAAAAGTTATATGGAAAAGCAAAGGACATAAGATAGCCAGAATATATTGAAAATGAAAAACAAATTTGGAGGACTCACTGCCTGACTTCAAGACTAACTATAAAGCTACAGTAATCAAGACAGTGTAGTACTGGCATAAGGATAGACATATAGATCAATGGAATAAAACAGACATTCCAGAAATAGGTCTATATGTATATAGACAATTCATTTTTTAAAAAGATCCCAAAGTAATTCAATGGAGAAAAATAGACTTTTCAACAAATAATTCTGGAACAATTAGATGTTGTCTTAGTTCTGGCTGCTATAACAAAAATACCATGGACTGTGTGGCTTAAACAACAAACATTTATTTCTCACAGTTCTGGAATCTGGGAAGCCTAAAACCAAGGCACTGACGAATTTGGTGTCTGGTGAGGCCTGATTCCTGGTTCATAAAGAGGTGTATTCACATGACCGAAGGGGCAAAGGAGCTTTCTGGGGTCTCTTTTATAATGGAACGAATCCCATTCATGACAGCTCCACCACATGGCCTAATCATTTCCCAAAGATCCCACTTCCAAATTCCATCACACTGGATGTTAGGATTTCACATATGAATTTGGGGGTTACACATTCAGTCTATAGCAGACATCCATACACAAAAAAAAGTACCCTTGCCTCACACCATATACAAAATATGAACTCAAAATGGTTCATAGATCAAAATGCAAAAACTAAAATTATTAATACTTCATTTAAAATAGGAAAAATATAGAATAATCTGTAGTTGCAGAGTAAAATATTGCTTATTTAATGTTGTAGTGGTTTAAAGACTTTTGAAATTATTTCTCTGCCACCATCTACTTAATAAGTTCCAGTTTTTCCTATTAAGAAATGGAAAAAGGCAAATGCTAATGATAAAACATTTAAATGCAGACAAAATTTAAAATATTGTTAGATGGGTGCCTGGCTGACTCAGTCAGTGGAGCATGCAACTCTTGATCTTGGGGTCCAGAGCCCAAGGGGTTGTGAGTTCAAGCCCCACATTGAGTGTAGAGATTACCTTAAAAATATATAAAATAAAATATTGTTAGAAAAAATAGGAATATAGGGGTAATCTTGGATTAGGCAAACCTTTCATGGAAGGACATAAGTGCTAATAAAAAAATTTATAAATTGTACCACATCAATATTAAAATATTTTCACCCTTGTGCATGGACTCATTAAATGGAGGCTCCTCATTAAATGGCTCCTCAAAAGCCATTAACATGTTAGGAAAATGAAGAGACAAGCTTCCACCTGGAAGAAGATAATTGATAAAGAATCTGTCTCCAGAATATACAAAGAACTCTTACAACTCAGTAATAGTAAGACAAATAATAAGAAAATAATACAATTTGGGGTGCCTGGGTGGCTCAGTCATTGGGCATCTGCCTTTGGCTCAGGTCATGATCTCGGGGTCCTGGGATGGAGCCCTGCACTGGGCTCTCTGCTCAGCGGGAAGCCTACTTCTCCCTTTCCACTACCCCCTGCTTGTGTTCCCTCTCTCGCTGTGTCTCTCTCTGTCAAATGAATGAATAAAATCTTTTAAAAAAATACAATTTAAAAAATAGGTAAAAGATTTGAATAGACACTTCACCAAAGAAAAGATGAAGATGGCAAATGATCAGATGAAAACATGTTCAACATCATTAATTTTCAGGGAAATGAAAATTAATACCATAATGAGATATCACTACACTCCTACTCTTGTGGCTAAACTAAAAAAAACAAAAACAAAACTAAAAAGCTGTTATTAAAAAGTCCTAGCAAGGATATGGAACAACTGGAATTCTCACTGTTGGTGGGAATACAAAATGGCATGGCCTGGGGTGCCTGGCTGGCTCAAGTCAGTAGGGCGTGCCACTCTTGATCTTGGGGTCATGAGTTTGAGCCCCATGTTGGATGTAGAGTTTAGTTAAAATAAATGGAAAAAAATGGCATGGCCACTTTAGAAAAGTTTGGCAGCCATACATTTACCATATGACCTAGTAATCCCACTCCTAGGTATTTACCAATGAGAAATGAAAACTTTAGTAGCTTTATTCATAAGAGCTTGAAACTGGAAACAATCCAAATATCCCCCAAATGGTGAATGGATAAACAAGAAAAAACTACTGGTTCATGCAAAAACATGAATGACTCAGATTCATTAGGCTAAGTGAAAGAAGCCAGACCAAAAAAGGCTATGCTCTAGTTTGCTTCCACTTATAAGACATTCTGGAAAAAGCAAAACTATAGGGACAGAAAGCAGATTGATTCTTAAGTGTAATTCTGGATGTTCCTAACTGCAGGAATTTTAAGCTTTATCATCATCTGCCTCTTCTAGCCCCATCCTCATCCCAAGACCACCTAATACCCTTTAATACATTCTCTTTCTGCTCAAATTAGCCAGGTTTCTGTGGCTTGTAACTAAGTAACTGAACATCTAATGGCTTGTGTTCCCTCCATTCAATTTTTCTAAAATTTGTCAGAAATTCAAAGTTCTTTTTCTGTGATCAACTCACAAAATGATTAAGCCAGCCTGTGCCCTCATTAAAAAAAATGGGGGGCACCTGGGAAGCTCAGTTGGTTAAACGTCCAACTCGGTTTCAGCTCAGGTCATGATCTCTCAGGTTGTGGGATCAAGGCCCGAGTTGGTATCGTCGTTCAGCAGGGAATCTGTGTGAAAGATTTTCTCCCTCTGTCCTTCTTCCAGTCTCTCTCTCTTTCTCTCTCTCTCAAAATAAATAATCTTAAGAGCTTCATTTCTAAAAAAAAATTTTTTTTTGCTTTGTGGTTTTATTTTCTGGACTATTTCTGTCTACTGACTGTTCTTCAAGGTTAAAACATCCTGATTGTTACTCGATGGCACAGGGTCAAAATTGTTCAAAGCTTGGCTCTCTGAGCCCCTCCCTGTCTGTGCAAAAGTCTGGTTATCTCAATTACTTTTTCAAGGAGAGACTTGCCCATCTAACCCCAAAGAAATTTAGGGTTTAGG